GACACCATCAGCTTTGTGAAGCCCTGGGCCCAGGGCACCTTCAGCAGCCAGCAGTGGGTCCACCTGCAGAATATATTTCGGGTTTTTCGAAGCAGCTTCACCAGGGACATACAGGAATTCGCCAAAATGCTGTCCTTAGAGTGTGAGTTGAGCGGATGGGATCCAGGGCAGGCGCTACAGTGTGAGAATGGGCATGGAAGTCCTGCTGGGAGAGGGGATGAGGTTGTCTGCTTTCTCCCCCTCTGAGGGCTTGCACTTCTGCCTGGCCGGGCCCCAGTTTCAGGCATCAGGCCACCCACTCTCATTTCCTTCCATTGTGGGTCCCCCGTGTAACCCCAGTACCAGTCTCTTCTCCTTCTTCCCTTTCAGTCCTTTAAAGCTCATTTGAGTTTTGCACGTTTCTCTCCACAGATCCCATGGAGCTGCAGCTGTCTGGTGGCTGTGAGGTGCACCCTGGGAACGTCTCAGAACACTTTCTCCATGTAGCATATCAAGGAGAATATATCCTGAGTTTCCAGGGAACTGCTTGGGAGCCTGCCCCACAGGCCCCCCAGAGGGTAGATTTGGTCATCAAAGTGCTCAACCAGGACGAAGGGACAAAGGAAACAGTGCAGTGGCTCCTCAATGACATCTGCCCCCAATATGTGAATGGCCTCCTAGAGACAGGGAAGTCAGAACTGGAGAAGCAAGGTCAGCCTTCTGTCCTCTCCATCTATCCTACTTTTAAGCTTCAAGTAGGTTTTTCCATCCCAGGGTTTGCTTTCATTTAAGCATCAGACAAAGATCAAGACATAGGGGATGGATAAGGCATGAGGGTATTTGTTCATATCACCCAGTGTCACTGAGTACCTGCTGGGTTCCATGAGTTGAATTAAACCAAGTCTGTGGGTCAGAATTGATTCAGACAATGTTTGAGACATGCTGTGTGCTCCAGCTGAGCTCAGGGTGTTAGAGTAGGAGGTGAGGCATTTATAGGGCACTGGGATCAGGGGAGGGGAAGGAGATGAGGGATGGGTCTCCTGGACAAGGTGACACAAAGGGATCAAAGCTACTTGGAGACTCCACCTCCAGAAGTGGACCTTTGGGGAGCATGAACCTGGGAGGAGGCCTGGGACCTCTGATGCAGAGTTCTCACCTTATGGTTTCCTCATCCCTTATTGGATACAGTGAAGCCCGAGGCCTGGCTGTCCAGTGGCCCCAGTCCTGGGTCTGGCCGTCTGCTGCTGGTGTGCCACGTGTCTGGCTTCTACCCAAAGCCCGTGTGGGTGATGTGGATGAGAGGGGAACAGGAGCAGCAGGGCACTCAGAGAGGTGACATCCTGCCCAATGGTGATGAGACGTGGTATCTCCGAGCAACCCTGGATGTGGCAGCTGGGGAGGCGGCTGGCCTGGCCTGCAGGGTGAAGCACAGCAGCCTAGGAGGGCAGGACCTCGTCCTCTACTGGGGTGAGAAAGGGCTGGGGCTGTGTTGGAAATGGAGGCAGGTGGTTCTCAAGCGACTGTGAAGGATGGAGTTGGCACACCAACTAGGAGGGCTAGAAGGAAGGATTCCAGACACAGTAAAGAGGAAAATAGGACTGAGATCCAATGTATTAATACAAGATGAATTGGGATTGATAATCTTAGAGATCTGGAAGTTGTTGGCAAATAATGAATCCCTGGAAGCTGGGCATGACAGCACTCATCTGTATTCCCAGCTGCTGGGGAGGCTGATGCAGGAGAATTCCAAGTAGGTGGCCAGCCTAGCCAAATTAGGGAGACCTTGTCTCAAAAAGTAAAAGCTAGGGAAGCAGCTCAGTTGTTTGCCCCAGATTCTAGGATTCAACCAGCAGCACTGCATATAAAATGAAAACAGAATCTGGGAAGATTCATTTCCCAGCAGAATGGGGATCAGGGAATTATGAAAAGCAGGTTAACGAGGAGAGCTGTGGTTTACTGAGTGCTTCCTGCGTGGGGGCCTGGCCACTCTGCATCCAGTGCTTTACCTGAGCATCACCACTCTCCTTTGAAGCACTTATTGTTATTCTATTTTACAAATTGAGGCTGAGATAGGTTACCTACCCAGAGTCTCACAGAAGGTGGAAGAGCTGGATAGAGATTCAGGTCTGCCTGGCTACACAGCTTCACCTGTACGCTACGTTATTATATAGTGAAATGAACTGTAGTGCAGGTGCCTAGACCCTGTGAAAAGGTGGGGAGTCTAAAATTCTGAGGAATAGAAGTTGATGCTCTAAATAGGGGGAGGGAAAAGGCAGCGCCTGGCCCCTCACATGTGCTAGACCAGGGAACTTGGTACATGGTCCTGTGTCCCCTGCAGGTGGGAGCCACACCTCTGTGGGCTTGGTCATCCTGGTGGTACTGGCTTGCCTGGTGCTGTTCTTTGTGCTCATTCTAGGCTTCTATTGGATCAGGAGACACCGGTGAGTCTCCCCTTCCATCTGCTCCTTCCCTCCTCCTCTCTCCTCCATCCCCTGTTCCTGTTTCCTGAATGGTGTCTCCCTTTCTCTTCCCTCACAGCTCCTATGAAGACATCTTGTGAGTCTTCTGGTCACCTGTCTGTCTGGAGCCCAAGACCTCAAGTCCCCAGAACTGCAGTCTTTGCCTGCTTAGGAATGGAGGATGAATGGAGAGTTAACCTGGAGAAGTAACAAAGAAAAGGGTCATCCACATCCTTT